ACGCTGATCGACGCCAGTCGACGCCAAATCGGCGCTGCTCATGGACTCCCAGACGCTAACCGACGCCAATCGACGAGGAAGACGGACTTGACAGGGCGTGCCAGGCTCCCATGACTTGCTACCAAACCCCTGCTTCCGGGAGACAGCTCTGCTCGAGCCCGCGTCGGGCCCGCATCGAGCACAAGAACAGACACCGATGTTGGGGACAAGCAAGGGTCCCCCGAAGATGCAACGTAGTTAACCCCCTGCTTCCGGGAGACAGCTCTGCTCTCCAGCGACCGCGCGAGACGCTCTGGGCAGCCCCGGAGCGCCTTCGGCGAGGCGCGGCTGCTGCGAGGGCACCTCGGGGCGGAAGACCGCCGAGAACCGACGAGAGCGCCCGAGCAATCCGAACCTCGAACGCCCGAAAAAACCTCTGAGACACCACCCAGAACCCCTCCAACTGCCCCTAACATGTGTTATGCTGCATCCTCGGGGGACCTTGCCTGTTCCCTCTTGGCCCTATCCGCGTCGAATCGGCGTCGAATCCATGTCGGACTCGTCGGATCCGCGTCGAATCCGTGTCGGATCTGCGTCGAATCCACCCCAAATCCGCGTCGAGTCCGCATCGAGCCCGCGTCGGGCACAAGAACAGACACCGACTTTGGGGACAGGCAAGGGTCCCCCGAAGATGCAACGTAGTTAACCCCCTGCTTCCAGGAGACAGCTCTGCTCTCCAGCGACCGCGCGAGACGATCCGGGCAGCCCTGGAGCGCCTTCGGCGAGGCGCGGCTGCTGCGAGGGCACCTCGGGGCGGAAAACCGCCGAGAGCCGACGAGAGCGCCCGAACAATCCGAACCTCGAACGCCCGAAAACCTCTGAGACACAACCCAGAACCCCTCAAACTGCCCCTGACGAACCTCGAACGCCCGAAAACCCTTGAGCCTCCCGCACGATAAAAGAAGAAACAACGGCATAGATGTCAACGTTCGGAGGTCCGCGCGGATTTCTTGGATCTGCGCTGGACCCCCCTCCCTAGCGCGCGGAGCGCGCCAAGGGGCGGCGCTGGAGGCGCCGCCGGGGGGGCCCAGCGCAGATCCATGAAATCCGCGCGGAGCGTCGAAAGTTTACGTGTATGGCCGTCTTCTTCTTCGAGATATGTGGCCTTGTCTCCTATGCTTTCCCCCTGGCGTTGGAGGCTTGGATATGGGCACCATCCCCAAGGCAGGGGTCTGCCTCCACCGGGAGAATAGGATCCTAGAGTTTGGTCTCAGTGGTAAGATCTCGGCCACCTAGCACGCCCGAATATTACGACCGTCATCGAAATCGGCATGATCTTCCCCGGGTAGAGGGACACTGCCGACATGGGTTAAGTGGCGACATCCAAACCCTACCCCCACCAACCATCGATTCTCGTGAAACGACAGGAGGCGGGGGCAGTGTTCGGACCTCGCCACGCGCTCGACGAATTCCGAAACCTACCCCCGCCGCCCATCGAGTTGCCCGAACCGTTGATCGGCGAAGGTGGGGTTCGGATTTCGCCGCCGAGATACGCAATAACAATCGCACGGATGCGTTCTGCGCTGGGCATCCGCGAACAAAAGCGTGTCGTATCCGCGGGGTCGCGACCGGGGGGCCTGGTCCACGAGGCCGCGGATACAGAGACGTGTTTCGTATACAGGAGGGGGGGAGGAGGGCCCATCCATCATCCTGGACGAGGGGCCTGGAGGAGGGGAACGAGGAGGGGAGATGACGAGGAGTGGCATTGACAAGGAGATGCGGAAGGTGGGGGAACCATAAGGTACCAACACCGCTACTTTCCAGGGATGCGTTCTGACCATCATTTTGAGGCGAATCTGGCGGTGGCGACGAGAACCTCCCAGGAGGCTCAAGAACGGTGAGAACGAGGGAAGTAGATAGCATTGTGGAACCCTTCTCCTCCCTCTGAGAGGAGGAAGGAGGAGCAAAGGCGGGAACGAGATGTCGGGGCCCTCCTTGGTAAGCAATAGAAGTACCAGGAACCCTTTGGGAGCGGACTTGAGTTCAGAGGCCCAAAACATTAGGGATAGGCGATCTCTTCTGCAGATGCATCAACAAAAACACCTGTACGTATGATCCCTACGGCAAGCATGGAGACCTAAGTTATGCTACGTCTTCAATGTGTTATTCGGGTCAGGGGTTATTCTATGCTCGATGACTCCTGCCCTCGGTGGAGGTACATTGCCGACCGCGGTGGCGGTGCCGAGGAGGACGAGGACGAGATCTCGGGTTCCTCCAGAGCCAAGAGGGACTAGGAGGAGGAGGAGGAGGAGGAGGTGAGGGAGGAGGAATGGAGGAGTAGGAGGAGGTGAGGAGGAGGGAGGAGAGGAACCAAAGGAGGACGAGAGCCCCAGAACCCCGACTCCGTGATGTTTTCAAAACGTCGACCCACCAGAGGTCTGAGAGAGCGTGATCCACCGCCGCTTTACTGTGGAAAATTGCCCCCCTTTTCCTCCGGAACCCGGGGGTCCCCCCCCCCCCCCCTCCGAAAATCCCCCCCCCCTGCTGGAACCCCTCCCCCCCCCCCCCCCCCCTCTCCCCCCCGGCAAAACCCCCCCCCTCCCCTAACCCCTCCCCCCCCCACCCCCCCCCTCCCGCTCGAAAACCGGGGGGGGTCACTACCGGTTTCGAACCCTCCCTCCCCCCCCCTCCGGATCCGAAAACCTGGGGGGGGTCACTACCGGTTTCGAACGCCCCCCCCCCCCCCCCTACCCCCCCCCCCCCCCCGCCCCCCCCGCACCCCCCCCCCCCCCCCCCCCCCCCCCCCCCCCCCCTACTCACCGCCAGCAAACGACTCCCGGTCCCCACCACCGTCCGCATCACATCCCCCACTGGTGTTCCCAGCACCACTGTCCTCACCACCGCTGTCCCCACTGGTTCCACCACCGCCCCTACTGTCCCCACCAGTGGCCCCACCACTGTCGCACTGTCCCCGCTGTCCCCAGAACTGTTCCCACCACGGTTCCACTCTCCCCACTGTCTCCACGGCCCCAACCACTGCCCGACTATCCCCACTGTCCCCACTGTCCCACTGACTCCTCCGCTGTCCCACTGAGCTGTCCCACTGTTCCCACCACTGTCCCCACTGTCCCCACCACTGTCCCCACTGTACCTCTGTCCCATTGTCCCACCGCCGTCCTCGCCACCGCCTTCACCACTGTCCCCACCACCATTGTACCCTCCACTGTCCCACTGTTTCCACCTCGTTCCCATTGTCCCCACACCACTGTCCCCACCACCACCGTCACCACCACTGTCCACTGTCCCCCCCTGTTCCCACCATTGTCCCCACCACTGTCCCCACCACTACCGTCCCCACCGCTGTCCCACTGTCCCACTGTCCCCACCACTGTCCCGCTATCCCCTCACCACTGTCCCCACCACTACCGTCCCCACCACTGTCCCACTGTCCCCCCACTGTCCCCACCACTGTCCCGCTGTCCCCTCACCACTGTCCCCACCAACACCGTCCCCACCACTGTCCGCACCCCCACTCGGTTTTCGAGGGGGGGGGGGGTTCGAACCGGTAGTGACCCCCCCCCCCTTTTCATGATGAGCAGGGGGGGGGGGGGGGAGGGGTTCGAACCGGTAGTGACCCCCCCGGTTTTCCGGAGGGGGGGGGGGGGGGGGGAGGGGTTGGAACCGGTAGTGACCCCCCCCGGTTTTCCGCCAGCAGCGGTAGAACACGCTCTTTCAGAGGTCTGGACCCCTTCCCTGACACGTGTCTTGACGGCCCCGAAGCCCAATGAAAGGGCCCCCTGAGGCTGAAAATAGCTGCCAGCCTCCCGCCGCGTTTTTGTTCGCACCGCGTTGGGGTCTGAGAAGGAGGAAGAGGACCAGGAGGAGGAGGAGGAGGACCAGGAGGACCAAGAGGTCTGGGAAGGAGGAAGAGGACCAGGAGGATCATCATCATCCATCGACTTCAGGGAAAACACAACCACGCAGCGTATGTCTGGATGAAAGCAGTGCAGGAGAGCCCAGAGTCGAATCGATACGTCGGATCGGCGATCGAGATGAATCGGATCGGCGGACATCGGCGGCCGAGTCGGGAAGCATCGAACCGGCGGAAATCGGCAGGCCAGCAGGCCTCCAGTGAGACATCGGAGCCCAGAATCGGCAGAAAACCCGAAGTCGGACCGAAGCGGAATCGGGAGCCACCGAGGCCGAGTCGGATCGGATCGGAGGCATCGAAGCGAGCCCTGGCAGTGCGCCCGACGGCATGCCCTGCAGTAGAGGCCTCCTAGATGGGGTCGGAGTAGATGGGGTCGGAGGGCCGCGCCGCATCGGCGATACATCGGCGATGCATCGGCGATGCATCGGCGATGCATCGGCGAATGCATCGGCGACGTCGGCGATGCGGCGCACTCCTCCGACCCCATCTGCTCCGACCCCAGCTCGAAAGCCTAGATGCAGACCCCGCCGCGGGGCGCGGCACCCGTGTGCTCGCCCGGGCCGGGCGCGCCTCGCAGGGGGGGGGGCTCTACGAGCGGCAGGCCTGCGTGCCCTCTCCCTCTCCCTCGGCGCGCTGCGAGGCCTCCAGTTCTCTCTCGCAGCCGCTGGAGGCCGAGGGGGAAGAGGAGGAGGAGGAGGAAAGGAGGAGGAGGAGGAGGAGAAAAGGAGGAGGAGGAGAAAAGGAGAAGGAGGAGGAGGAGGACGAGGAGGAGGAGGAGGAGGAGGACGAGACCTCGGTGGAGTTGGAGGACGGGGACGAGGACGAGGAGGACGGGGATGAGGAGGAGGACGAGGACGAGGACGAGGAGGAGGACAAAGACGAGGAGGAGGAGGACGAGGAGGACGACGCGGAAGAATACGAGGCACGAAAGGACGAGGACGAGGACGAGGACGAGATCTCGGTGGAGGCACGCTGCCGCACCTCGGCGGCGCCGCCAACCGCTGCGGGCCTCCCGCCGCGGCCCCGCACCCCCGCGGCCCTCCCCGAGGGGGGGGGGGGGGCGCGCGGCGCGGGCGGGAGGCGGCGGCGCTCCGCCAGGCTCTCGAAGCGCCGCGCGGCGAGGCTCCGCGAGAGGGGCGTGCCCGCGAACGCGCCCTCCTTGACGGCCTCGAGGTCAGAGGAGGAGGAGGAAGAGGGAGGAGGAGGGGGAGGAGGAGGAGGAGGAGGAGGAGGAGGAGGGGGAGGAGGAGGAGGAGGGGGAGGAGGAGGAGGCTCAAAGGACATCTCGGCTCAAAGGGCCAGGGTTGGCCCCGCCGACCGGCCCTCGGCATCGCCACAAGCAGTGCAGTGGCATCATCTCGCCTTCTCTTGCTCACTCGCGGCCATCAAGAGAAGGATCGCCCGAAGTCCCGGAGGGAGGTAAAAGAAACACGTTTGCGAGAAGGGCAGTCCAGCCACTGACTGAGAGAAGAGTGAGTGGCGAATTATAGCCTGCGAGAAGTGTGAGAATGCGGTAGGGGAGCTGGGGCGAGGGGAAGAAGTCCGAGTGAGCTTCTTCGATTCTTGTTCCCCCTAGTGTAGGGATTCGACCGTCCGAGGGACTTGCGCGCGGGAGGAGGAGGAGGAGGAGGAGGAGGAGGAGGAGGAGGAGGAGGAGCAAGAGGAAGGAAAGACTCGGAGAATGAAAAGGTATTGATCTACCGCTATCCTTCCCTCGTTTTCCCTTGTCGGCCTCCTGGGATGCCCTCGTCGCCGCCGCTGGATTCGCCTCGAGATGCTGGTCACAACGCACCTCAGGAGGGGTGCGGGGAGAAGCGGTATCGATACTGCTTGGTCTCCCCACGAGGGTGGGGGGAGGCAGGACGAAGATCAGTTCGAAGATCAGTTCGAGTGAAGATCCATCTAGAATCTCTGCGATCCAGCTGCTCTGGAGGATGTCTCGGGCGCCGCGGCCTCCTAAGAGCGTTCCAGCACTCTCTGAGAGCGCTCATCCCGCTCTGAAACGGATTGATTATTGTCCTAGCCCCGTCCGAGGGGGGGAGATGGTCGTCAAGGGACGGACGCGCCCAACTATGTACACGAACACGGCCCCCCCCAATCCACGAGACTGGCCGCGTGATACGAATGTTCGCGCAATGCGTAATCTCGAAACCAATGTGGATGCATGTGCGTGGACGTCCTTCTTTCACTCCTGAGGGGAGGGGGGAAATTATGCTGCATCCTCGGTGGGCCTCGCCTGTCCCGTCGCGCCCCTGTCCGCGTCGAATCCATGTCGGGCTCGTCGAGTCCGTGTCGAATCCACTTCAAATCCGCGTCGAATCCACGCCAAATCCGCGTCGAGTCCGCGAACACCCCCTCCTTGACGGCCTCGAGAGGGGTGGAGGGGACGCACAAGGGCATATTAGTACTATGTATGTATCCTCCTTGGAGGCGTGCGCCCGACCGGAACGTATGGTACAACCATCTTGTAGTACTTGTGTCGTCCCCCGAGCGGTACGGCCAGAAAGCGCCAGCCACGTTGCTTGTACTGCAAGAATTCCCGGCGCGGGCGGCGCCCCTTCGGGGGCAACGCACACCTAATGAAAGTATGGCCGGGTGACGCCGAGGGAGGGGCGAAGGAACACGCGATCGGAGCGACCAGAAGAAACGGGTCTGACACGATATGGCATGGCGACCTGACGCAGTGACTTCTGCGGGCCGCCAGCGTGGCACGCCGCGTTGGAAGCGAGGGCGCTTACGCGCGACCTCACGCGCGGAGCTTGCGCGCGAGTGTCGGCGCAATCGAACATGTTTTTCTGCGTCGCTCGTGCGTTTCAATCCTGGTCTCTTTTCCCCGATTCCTGCCTCTGGGGCCAGCTCCGGGCCCAGGGAACATCAATATGAAGGGGAACTGGGGCACACAAATAAATACACACAAATAACCAGATTCCCTGTATTTTCCAAAACTTCCTGGGTTTTTGTCTTCCCCCCACTTCCCATATTTTCCAACATTTTTGGGGGAAATCGACGATTAATTGTGTCTGTGTGTTTCTTTCCCTCCTGACAATAGTGCATCCAGGACGAAGGCCCACCTCCGGGGAAGCGGTCGGGACCTCCAGGGCCGCGGACGGCAACAGAAAACATATCTGCGGATGCAGGGGATCGAGGATCGAGAATTTCCACCGGCCCTCGGGGCACAGGTGGTTTGGCGAGTCAGTTCTTCCAGTCACCGTTTTCTGACCTCGAGGAGGGGAGGGAGCAAGATCGAGGATCGAGAATCACACAAACCCTCCAGGCGTGCGGCATCTTCGAGCCGTGACGACACCGGCGGTGGTTTCTGAGACGGCGTGTATCGCTCAGCCTTGGAACGATCTGTGACTTTCCGATCGCTGGATCGTTCCAACTTGCCGGATTCTGGGCCGCTGGCGGCGTTCAACCTTGAACGCCCACGCTGGGTCGCGGCCGCGTCGACACGACACCAACCCACCGTCGGTGGTTTAGCACGTTATTCAATGCTCCTTATTCCTCTTCTGGGATGTTGTTTCCCTCCAGTCCCCTCTGGAGAAGAGAAAGGAAAAGAGGGAGAAGGAGAAGAGGGATGCATCGCCGGATAGAGGAGCGGAATCCCACCAGCCCTTTAGGGCGTTAGTGGTTTAGGGGGGGTCCTCTTCCAACCCCCGTCTTCCCCTTCGGGGAGGGGCTTACCCCTCCCCCTATCCCCTCCACCTGGTCCTGGAAGGGGGGGGTCCGCGGGTCGTTGGAGCGTGCAAGACGGCCTCGGGTTTTGACTACATTTTGGCCTCCTGGGGTGGGGTGCTAATTGAGGAGGTCCCCTCCCTTCATCGATCTCCTCTCAGATGGCTCCAAGATGGCCCCTAAGGCTCTCATGAGTGCCCCAAAAGGCGCCCAGGCAGTCCCTAAGATTTCCCCAAGATGCCCCCAAAGATGACTGCAAGAGGCCCCAAGAGGCTCCCGAAAGACCCCCAACAAGCCCGAAAAGGCTTCCCCGCGGCACTCAAAACGCTTCAAGGGGCCGCCCCTTCTCACTTCCCCCGAGGCTCGCCGCCGATGCTACTTAGAGAGCGCAAAAAAGCACCCTCCTAATAAGCACCCGGACGAGCGAAAACCCACAGTAGACGCACCCACGGAAGGGATCGAACAGGGCAGGGCTGCTCAGTAGACGCCCAGTGCTGCTTAGAAACTGCCGATGGTGGGGCCACGTGCACGAGTGCTGCGCCGCTGGCCTTCCTCACAGGCCGCCCCGAAAAGTCCCCAACCTGCATCGTGAATCATCGGCGAATGCGGATCCCTCCTGTCGCCACCAGCCCGCTCATGCCGGGGTGGTCAACTAGGTTGAGCAGGGACCGATCGCCCTGGCGTTCCCATCGGCCTACCGCGAAACTCTCTTAGAACTAAAACGGGTCGAACGACAAATGCACTGCTCGTATGAAGTTGAAACGACTACTTGAAGCAAGACGGCCTAAACCAGGCATGCTCTAATTGCGCCTTAGACAAGCAACAAAAGGTTATTATCATTTCTCATGGTGGGCCTTGTGGCAGACCAAGACCCTCTGACACTGTTTGAACAGGGGAGGTTTTTAGAGACAGGGTGAGCGCATCAGCTTGGTTAGTCACCCCAGCTGAAATCTATAGAAGAACAGGCACAGCGGTGGAGCCGAAACCTAGTGCATGAAGCAGTGTTCGGAACCCGCCGTTTCTCTCCCCTTTGGTCCACCCCGATTATAACATCCTGACTTCGCTGCGTCATTTACACTACCAGTCTGGTACCGTACCCCCTCACCTTCGTCGAACCCTCGGCCCGCAATCAATGCAATGGACGGGCAAGCCTTCGGGTACTGTGCCGACAAGGCCTCGCTCCGGCGCGTTGCAGAAAAGACCACGTCGCGCACTCACAAGGCAAGGCCAGCACGGCAACTACTGGCATGGTATCAATGATCGTTGCGACATGCTCAATTCCAGTCAAAATCAAGATGACCAGCTGCATGAACACGACGTAACTAGACGCGAGTGCACAATTCTGGCGTAAAACGCTGCCTGTGACAGTGAGCCCCTGCCGAAAGCGCCAAGATCCAGTGACTCCCAGCGAGCAGAGTGTCCTACCAACGCGCGGGCCCTGGACAATGTTCAACGGGGGCCTGAATGAAAAGGGTTCTGGACCTCAGGCAGGAGAACCCAGAATCGAATCGATAAGTCGGGTGGGCGGTCGAAATGAATCGGATCGGCAGAAATCGGCAGCCGAGTCGGGAGAAGTCGAATCGGCGAAAATCGGCAGGCTACCAAGCTTTCATTGAGAAATCAGGGTCCGAATCGGAATCCTGAATCGACTTCGGAATCGAAATCCGTTGGAATCGAACCAAATCGAACTGGAGGAATCGAAGCGAGCCCTGCCCAAGGGCATTCCCCTGCATATGTTTTTCCTCGTGCGCCGTGTTGCCCCCCCCCCCCCCCCCAAGCCTGGGAGGAGCAAGGGATGCCGAACACAACGACAAGCAGCCTGAGGGCCGCTGGCCCTCAGGGCCCCCCCCCCGTCATGGCAAGCCATGCTTCCTCGACGAGCCAACGCGGCGGGAGAGAGCGTCCAGCAGCTGCACCAGCAGCTGCAGGGTGCGCACGGCAAACGCACAAGAGAGGGTCGAGGAGCAAGAGGGAGCCCTAAGTGGCCTGCTCCAAGGATGTGGCTGGAGAGCAGGCACAACGGAGGCGCTTGCCACACGACGGTGTCTTGGTCGGCATTCTCTCCAGTGGTGTGTGCGTGTGTGTACGGGGGGGGGGGCTCAACACGTCGGGCAAGTGTTACACGCTGGCGTGCAAGTCAGTATATCTGCACGCGGGCGCTCATGCGAGGACACGGCCCTGCGAAGATGGCAACAGTGCACGCCCGTTGCCTCGCGGTGGCATGACATATCTACCTTCCTGTCTGGGGCAGCCGATGGGGGGGGAGAGACGGGGCAAGCGTTCCGACGAAGAACCAATCGTGCCTCTTGGACGGCGCGCGGGGGAGGGAGAAGACAGGAACGAGGAGAAGCGAAGAGACGCGAGGAGAAGAGGAGCAGGAATGGAGGAAGAGGAGGAGGAGGAGGAGGAGTAGGAGGAGGAGGAGTAGGAGGGCGAGGAGGATCAGGATAGGTGGAGGATCAACAGGTCCGCCAGGAGGAGGCCTCCCCATTAGCCAAGAGAAGGAGCATCATAGAGGATCGGGCTGTGCGCATCGAGCCGCATCGCCAATGCATCGGCGAAACGGCGCGACCCTCCGACCCCATCTACTCCGACACCATCTAGCAGCCCTCGACTCTCACTTCCCCCCCTCGCTCCCCGACCCCTGACGTCGTGATTTCTTCACAACGTCGACCCCCAGAGGTCTGGACCCCTTTCCCACGGACCAATTTTTCATCCCGAGCCATGTTTTCAGGGTCCCGGCGCCCAGTATGGGCACCCGGAGGCCGAAAACAGCGAAAAATCTCGCGTCGTGATTTTCGTCGCCACGCGTGGGGTCTGGGCTCGCCGCCGAGGGAAGGAAGGCCAGGGCGCCAGGCAGCTGTGACCGAAGGGCGCCTAGACAGTAGGAGCCTGTGCTCCCCAGGCTCTTGCACTCGACTGGAGCAGGGTTGAGCAGGGCGTCCCGGCATTCCTATAGTCATACCACGAAATGTTCTTAGAACCCAAAATGTTCTAAGAACAAAACAACGTTCTTAGAACATCGACCCGATGTGATAAAACAAGACAGACTCCGCCAGAAATGTTTTATAAGAACATTCCGTGGGAACCGCAAGATGGTTCGTAGAACATTGCTTGGTGGGGCTATAGGCGAGCCAGGACGCTTCGCCGCTGCTTGACAGGGGCTGCCGCCGCCGGGGGCAAGCTCGCCGGCTCCGGCGCGGCCTCTGCGCCGCTCCCGGTGCGAGCCCCAGGCCGGGCCGCTGGCACGGCCACGCGCCCGTGCCGCGTGCCTCCCAACGCCGGGCCTGGGCCAGGCACTCGTATCCCTCTCTGTCTCCCGCAGTGGGGGGCGACGGCGATCACGAGGCTTGGATGGAGGAGGAGGGGGAGGAGGAGGAGGAGGAGGAGGAGGAGGAGGAGGAGGAGGAGGAGGGGAGGAGGAGGAGGAGGAGGAGGAGGAGGAGGAGAGGAGGGGAGGAGGAGGAAGGAGGAGGAGGAGGAGGAGGAGGAGGAGGAGGGGGGGGGGACGAGGAGGAGGAGGAAGAGGAGGAGGAAGTGCAGGTGGAGGAGGAGGTGGAGATGTGACGGCTGCCGAGAAATCAGCGGCCTCGCCCCCGAAAGGCTGCGCCACGATGGCTCGAGCAGCCTGCGCACCTCTCTGGATATTGACCTTCGACCTCGGACCGCTCTTGAACTTTGGTGTGCTGCCAAGTGCGGTTCCGACCTGGCAAGTGTGGTGGACATTTTCCCCTTGCTGACGTGGCACTTCAAGATCCACGCTGGACTTCCAAAAAGCCGTTTGCTGGGGCCTGCGTGGAGCGATATCCAATCTAGCGCGGCGCAGGCAAGGCCGCTGCGACCAACGGACCATTTGACGTCAGTGACGGGCTCGCGATCCTCCGACCCCCTCAGAATAGCAGCGCAGAGGGCACAGGACGTGTGCAGAACGGAAATCCCCATCTAGGACATAGAGGACCGCATAGGGATGGCCATCGACCTGAAGGTGAACAAACGCCCGTACAGCGCGATGAACAGATCCGGCCTTCACTTACAGCAATGTCCGTCTGCAAGTACTCTGCCTCGGAATGCCTGTTCAAACATTTGCATATTGAATTGTCATACCTGATCCCGCTGGGAGGCGCGGTAAATAATTGGGCGCCGCCTACAAACCAGCCAGGAGTGGATGGAGGTTTTTGAAATACCGCTCGATATCCTCCCCCTGCTCTGGTGTGATGATCGAACACTCGAGCGGGACAGCAGACGCTCACACAGACGATGCAGCACGTATCGGCGGCGCGCAAAGGGGGTAGGGGGGGAACACTTCTGAGAAGCACCCTGCTTCTTAGAAGGTCCCAGCCTTCCCTCTATGGATAAGGCCCGCGCCTTCTAAGAAGCAGGGGTACTTCTAAGAAGCCTTTCCCCTTCCCGTACACCCCTCTGCGCGTGACTGAAGGTAAGCACTGCGATGCCTGCATGGGCAGAACGACTGACACCATACCCTGGCTGAGCAAGAAGGCTCGGCATCGGTCCAGGGCCTCTAGGTACTTCGGACACCCCGGGAGCTAGGAGGTTCCCTCCCTGTGCCCCGCATGGACACCGCCCACGCCTACTTCGAGTACGTCATCGAGGAAGTCGGGTGTCCCAGCCGCTTCTCGCTGCAGCAGGAAGGAAACCAACGACGGGGAGGTGGAGGCAACAAAATGGGTTGCGTCCCTTGGGCCACTGACGATAACCATGGCTTCGACCTCCAAGCCTATCCTGGCCAGCGGCAGCATCGCCGCTCAGAACGGGCCCCATGCTGAACACCACGTCTGGGGAGGGCTCCGCCCAACCACTGACGCCAGGAAAGAGGACGTGGAAGCCCTCTCGAGAAGTGCGGGAAGGCGGACGGGGGGACGAGGAGCGGGCCGACGTGCGGCAAAGAGGCGCGTCCAATTTGCCCAACGCACGCCCTGCGGAGGGGAACGCATCACTTGCTTGGTCGGATGCTGACCGCGCCCTAGCCCCACGAGTTTCGATCGAAGGTTTAGTGCGGGTGTTGGAGGAAGGGGGGAAAGGGGGGGAGCAGAGTTATGGGCATCGCTCCTCTGAGTCCAAGGGTCGGATGGCCGCCCCGCCGCCCCCCCCCCCGGAGCTCCGCGGTGCGGCCGCGGCAGAGGGGTCATGGGCAACGATAAGGGGGGGAGGAGGAGGAGGAGGAGGAGGAGGAGGAGGAGGAGGAGGAGGAGGAGGAGGAGGAGGAGGAGGAGGAGGAGGAGGAGGAGGAGGAGGAGGAGGAGGAGGAGGAGGAGGAGGAGAGGGAGACGGAGGAGGAGGAGGAGGAGGCGGAGTTGGGGACCCCCCTCGTATCAAGCTCCCGACTCTCCGCAACGGGACGGCGCCAGCGACGGTGCCCGGAGGCGGGCGTCGGCGCACGGCCGAACTCCTGGGGCTGCCGCGCACTCGAGAAGCAGTCATCCCCTGCCCCTCGAGCTCAAGGCAGCCCGCAGGCCTCGGGCCAGTGGCGACAGTGGCCTCTTCGTTCGAGGAGGTGAAAATCTGGACAGCCGTGGCCTCCAGCACGGGATCGTTGATGGCTGCCATCCGCCTGCGTACGTTCGAATCGAGCTGTTGTTCCGTGCGGACAAGCCTGATCAGGAGCTGGGGCTGCTGACTGCCAGCAACAAAATTACCGAACAACTTGCGAAGCACTGCCTGCTGCTCTGGCGCAGCGCGTTGCATCACCGTGACTACAACACCTGCGAACATGAAGCTGCCAGGCGCGCCCAGACCGTGCCATTTCTGGCCCTTGACACGGGGGATGTATTCAGTCTCGAATGCTGACTTCATGGCTTGGTAGATGGGATGGGCAACCTTGACCGTGAACTGCGTGGCGCACGCCGCCTCAAGGAGGCGGTTCCTCTGGGAGTTGACGACACCTGGCTTTAGGGCGAGATCGGTTCTCTTCTCCGCAATGCCATCTTCAACGGCAATGCGCTTGCGAGCCTGAACACCTGGGTCAGCAGCAGCGGCAGAAGACTTCTTACCCACCTGGCCGAAGACAGAAGACCATTGTGGCTGGGACATGCGGGATACGCATGGAGGATAACCAGGGAGAGGGAGGGACTTCAAGGTGAGATGCCTCAGAACTCGAATTTCTTCGCGCGCCCTAGGCGCGCAGCCCCACGGGCAACAACGCAACGCTGGGAGAGACGGAGAGACGAGCACGCACGGGGATTCATTGCAATTCCCTGCTAATCACGCTGTGGTGAACAGGCATGAGCTTGAGCAGAGAAGGGTGAGGGAGGACGGAGGGAGGGAGAAAGAAGGACGAGCGAGGCGGGAGGAGGTAGGAGAGGAGGGAGGGGAAAGGAGAGAGGACGGAGGGAGGGAGGGAGGTGGAGGGAGGGACTCGAGAATCGACATAGCCCCTTTAGCAGAACGCCCTGCAATGACATCCGCGGAGGGCACTCCACGCGTCGTCGCGGCAACGCATTCCAAGTGAGGCCTGGACCGAACTCCGCGACACCGACGTGGAGCTGCACAGTTATAAACTGCGAATGCAGCAGTCGAGTGAACGTCTGGGCGGCCGTTGCCGCCATGCTGCGGAGTTGACTCCGGCCCTTTGTGCTGCTGCATCACCCTGGCGTGGAGGAGCCGGAGGGGAGGAGGAGCAGGGAGGGATGAGGGGCGACGAGGGGAGGTGCTGAGGTGCTTCCGCTCCTTCGCGGAAGCCGGCAGTGCCGGCTGCGGGAGAACAGGGGAGGAGGGTGGGAGGGGAGGGAGGGGAGGAGGGAGGGGAGGAGTGACAAGGAGGAGGAGGGATGGACCACTGTTCGTTGGACCACTGATGGTACGTGGGCCCACCAGGATGGCGGGGGGCCCGCTCCACGAAGCTCGGCGGTGTCCGAAGGCCATGGGGCCGCATCGCCAGGGCGTCGGGTGGTGGTGTGGCAGCGGGACGGGAAGGAGAGGGGGGGAGAAGGAGGGAGGGGGGGAAGGCGGGTATGGAGGGGGGAAGGAGGCGAGGATGGGGAGGGGGAGGGAGGAGGCGAGGCGAGGGGGAGGCAGGGAGGGGGAGCGAGGGAGGGAGAGGGAGGGAGGCGAGCGAGGGCAGGGGGACGAGGAGGCGAGGGAGGGAGGGAGGGAGGAGGGAGGCTGTGGCGAGGAGGGCGAGGGGCAGCAGGGCGGGGCGCGCGCTGCAGCCTCCCACATGGCCTGCTTCACCCGCGGGGCTACCTGGCCGCAGCCGCCCAGCCGCGCGCCCGGCGGTCACTCCCGAGGCCCCTGGTGCGGGCGCCACGAGCACACCCTTGCCGTCGCTCGGACGTCCATTTTCCGTGCATGTGTCGGTTTCGTGCGTTGTTTTGTTTGCTCGATGGTCCAGGATGGTCGTCGATGATTCTCGCCGAGAAAACATGCACCCGTCCAAGCGATGCCAAGCACCGTCGGGCCCAGGGCAGAGGGAGCGGCCTTCCAGAACGTGGGACCCTCCGCTGGCCCAAACGCACAGTGCATCCTAGGGTGGCCTGCCAACCAGGGTACACGGGAGCGTCCGACAAGCACGAAGAACAGCAGGGCATCCTCCCCGAACCGACCTCGATCTCAGACCTCGGTCCGACTGTGCACCACCACCACCTCCATCCCACCTCGCCTCCTCAAGTCCCCCGCCCTCTTCTACAATTCAACAATCTGAATACTACTCGCCCTCCTCCTCTGCGGTGGTCGGAGATCTCGCGCCCCCTGCGCGTGGTGTTGTTGTTTTGCGAGAAACATAGGGTTTCAAACACTTAGTTTCTTCGTGGCTTTTTGCCAACGTTGTCTTATTCGGCGTTTCGACATTGGGCGGAAGGAAGGGGGGGGGGTCTGGCTCTGGACCTCTGCTTAGCGAAACTGTTTGCAGCAGTACGTCCTATGGAGGAAGGGCTCCACCTGCTCGAAACAGGCGGCTCAAAAACAGCCAAGATCTACTCCAGGGAAGGGGGGGAGGGGGGGAGTGCAAGGGCCCGCGCCGATCGGCAAAACAACGAATAAGAAAGCAATCCGATTGTTTTCGGCGTTCCACAGTGGTGCTCCCGCTGCAGCGTGGGCCCAATGTTCGGCTCGGCGCTTTTTGCTCCCGTCGCTCAAGGACTGGAGCTCTCGCCCCAGGCGCGGGCCTCTCTTTTCTGGATCAGAGGGCTTGCTTCTCTGCGGTCCCCTCCTCATTTCCCCTCCTCCGCCTTCCCATGGTTCTCCCTGCTCCTCCCGCTCCTTCCACTCCTGTTCCTGTTGCTGATGTTCGTCTCGCCCCAGCGCGGGCCACTTTTCTGAATCCGACCGAATCTCTCTTCATCGTTATCGCCCCCCTCAAGTCCCCTCATCCCCCCCCTTCCCCTAGACGTCCGTTTCCTCCCGACCCGTCAGCTGTAGTTCCTGCTGCTATTCGTCGTCCTCATCCTTTGCCTCCCGCTCATCCTCCTGCTCACCAGCCACCTCCTCCCCCTCCTCGTCCTCCGCCTCCTGTGCACACAGCTTCCCTGTCTTCGATTGTGCATAACACGAAATGGTCTTTCTGTGGGAGTCGCAGGTCGGCTATGATGGATCAGGAAAAATCAGCGCCATGGAAAGGAATGGGGAGGGATCGGATGTTAGATAAGGCGCGAACGCACCTAGCTTGACCTCTCATTTCTCCCTGGAAAGGGGACGGGTGCGGGAGGCGGTGGTGTGTATTCTTGGGCCCCGTACCTGGCGACTCTCCGGATTCGCGCGGGCGAAGAAGACGCAACACGTGCCATTAACATCGGCGTTCCAAAAAAAGCAAGATGGACTGAGATGCAAACATCTTGCACTGGCAAAAAACAACATTCCGTCCAGTGGGATGTTCGCACCCGTATGTGTGTGTGTGTGTTTACGATGGGCATATAAACTACCCCGTTTAATCCGTCAATGTTGTAGAATATGATGAATTCCCGGACTCTGAAACCCTGGATCATGGATCCGACTGCCCTTGACGGAACCAATCAAGTTCTAAAGGGAAATGGGGTCAACTCAGCACGGTCGGAACAAGGGTCAACCTCCGCTCACCCGCACACGCGGAAGTCACGGACGAAGCCCATATCCCCTTGATGCTGTCAGAAGCGTCACGAGCTCCTGTAACAGCGTAGTACATACTCCCTCGGCATTCCTCACACCATTTCCTGGATCGGCGATGGACATTTCCTGGATCGGCGATGGACCTCTCTCCCTGGCCCACGGAGCGAGCCAGGGGCGGCGCTGGAGACGACGCCAGGGGGGACCCAGCGCCGATCCAAGAGAGATCTGCGAGGACATCTGGACGTTGATGTCTATGTACGTGACTATGTCTTGTTTCTCCTTCTTCGGAAAAGTTGACTTCGCAAGTCTAGGCGCCTGGATGCCGTCTACTGGCCCCCGGACCGCAGAAACAATTTTTTCGTCGGCGGCTAGGCAGGACATCAATCATTTCTTCAAATGATTGCGCTGGTCGGACCACAGAAGCAAGCACCACAATTTCACAATGGAACCGATTTTTTCCTGGGCAAGGCATCCTGAGCTCCAGGGACCAGCGACGTGAACAACGGCAAACAAAACAGTCTTAGGTCGGCAGTGTCCTCCTAGAAGCGGATTCTGGAATGGAAGAAATCAACAAATGCTCAACAATGATCAAACATTGTAGAAACATCGTCCACTTGCAATGTGTCTACTATTTTCGAAAATTCCTTATGTAGAGGACATACCCGGCTTAAAAAGTCGGCGGAGGTCTGGGTTTGGCCAACTGGAATGCTGCCGAAGGGCGCCGCAACCGTTTCCACATGCGCTGCTGCACGTCAGAACGTCTATCACACGGCTTGCCGCCATGTGCAACAATACATCGCCTTGCAATCGACTTGGTCATGAAGTGAAGCATTTCGCGCCGTGCGCGGCAAAATGAATACTTCCAAACGAACAACATGCTGATGCCTGAACGTCGCTGTTTGTCAGAAGTTACATCGCAGGAATATCACAGCAATGACCAATACACATTGCCGCCATCGACAATGAAAACCTGATCAGACAAGAACGGGAAGCGCCAATGTTGTCCATTGGGCTCGTAGGGGGGAAAGACGACAACGATGATGGCGATAACAAAAAACAGCACATTACGAGAATGACAACGTGGATGACGGGGAGGGCAGAGAGGGGAGGCCGTCTGGGGGCATCTTGGGGCCTCCTGGGAGCCTCTTGGGGGCCTGTCGGGGCCCTCTTGGGCGATACCGGGCGTGCCTTAGGGTGCTATGGGGGCTCCCTCAGGCCGTCGTCTTGCCGTCGCTCGGACGTCCATTTCCCGTGCATTGTTCGGTTTCGTGCGTTTTTTTTTTGCTCGATGGTCCAGGATGGTCCTCGATGGTTCTCGCCGAGAGAAAATGCACACGTCCGAGCGATGCCAAGTCGTGGCGCCGCCTGGGGCTGTTCCAATAGTTGGGCCTCCAGGGGGCTCTGCTGGGAGCCTCATTCGGGGCGCTCGCTGGGTCCTCCGGGGGCGAAGAGCGCGGGAGGCGCGCTTCCGTGGCCACGGCCCCTCGTAGCAGCAGCGAGGGGCCCGCGCTCCCAGGCCTCGTGGACGGCCGATGCGGGCAACCGCTGCCGCCAAGAGGGGTCGAGATGGCCGCAGGGCGACCCGAGATGGCCCCGAGGTGGCCCAACACTGCTTCGAGAGGGCCGCAAGAACACCCCGAGTCGGGCCAGCAGAAGCCAAACATCATCCGCCACCGAGCCTCTGAGAGCACGGACGGGGCGTGCCCCCAGGTCCTGGGCCTAATCCCTGGAGCCTCAGCCCTCCGTGGGGCCGGGACACCGAATTCCGAAAAATATCCTTGGGCTGCCCGCGTGCCCCCTAGGCTCCCCCGCGGCTTGTCGAATGAGTTTTGCTGGCCCAAGACGACCCCATAACGGGCCCAGAGGGCTCCAGGAGACCTGACGGCCCAAGAGGGCACCAATACCCCCAAAGATCGGAGAGAGCGTGATCCACCGCCGCTTTACTCTGGAAAATTGCCGCCCTTTTCCTCCGGACCCCGGGGTCCCCCCCCCTCCGATAATCCCCCCCCCTGCTGGACCCCCCCCCCCCCCCTTCCCCCGGCAACCCCCCCCCCCTCCCCTTAACCCCCCCCCCCCTCGAGCTCGAAAACCGGGGGGGGTCTCTACCGGTTCGAACCCCCCCCCCTCGAAAACCGGAGGGGGGGGTCACTACCGGTTCGAACCACTGAGCTGTCTCACTGTTCCCACCACTGTCCCCACTGTCCCTACCACTGTCCCCACTGTACCTCTTTCCCATTGTCCCACCGCCGTCCTCGCCACCGCCTTCACCACTGTCCCCACCACCACTGTACCCACCACTGTCCCACTGTCCCCACCATGTCCCGCTGTCCCCTCACCACTGTCCCCACCACCACCGCCCCCACCACTGTCCGCACCCCCCCTCGGTTTTCAGGGGGGGGGGGTTCGAACCGGTAGTGACCCCCCCGGTTCTCGAGCTCGAGGGGGGGGGGGGTTCGAACCGGTAGTGACCCCCCCTTTTCATGATGAACTGGGGGGGGGGGGGTTCGAACCGGTAGTGACCCCCCCCGGTTTTCCGGGGGGGGGGGGGAGGGGTTCGAACCGGTAGTGACCCCCCCCCCGGCTTTCCGCTAGCAGCGGTAGAATACGCTCTTTCAGAGATCGCCGCTCAAAGGCGCGCCCGCGATGGCCCCAAGACGGCCCAAGAGGCCTCCAAGACGGCCCCAAGACGCCCGAAGCAGTGATTTGTCGTAGGTTTCTCAATGTTTTTGGCCTGCTCGTCGTGTCGGCTTATCGACGCTCCAAGACAGACCAAGAGGCCCTCAAGACAAGACGACCGCCAGACGGCCCAAGAAGACCCACAAACTGCCCGAAGGCGCCCAAGGCGGCCCAAGAGGGCCCCAAGCCGGCCCTAACAGAGGGCCCCAAAGAGGGGGCACGAACCGAAAATCCGAGCCTTCCTCCCCACGAGGCCCCAAGAAGCGCCCAGGAGGCTTCACGAGGCCCTCAAGAGGCCCCCAAGAGGCGCCAAGATGCCCAAACGAGGCCACAAGGAGATCCAAAATGGCCTCCAAGAGGCCTCCAAACTGCCTCCAAGAGGCCCCCCGCGAGATCCCAACGATCATCCAATAGGCTTCATACCCACAACCCAGGCACGGTGGCGAGATGGGCCGAAGGCCATTAAATCCGCCGCCCCCTGCTTGCAGGGGTGCACGGCGTGCTGGACGTTTCAGGTTTTGGTTTTGGTTCTTTTTCCAAAAGAACTTCCCAGTGGGCTCCGGCAGAACCCGCCGGCCACCCGGAATTTCCCCAAACGTGCTCAACGACCGCAAAAAATCCTCCAAGAACGGCCGTTTCGCTCGGGACATCCTCAAAAAATCGCGAAGATGGCCCAAGATGGCCTCCAAGTCCGCCCGAGATGGTCCAAGACGGCCTCCAAAACGGCCCAAGAGAGTCCAAGACGGCCCAAGACGGCCCAAGAGGCCCCCCAGAGGCCTCCCAGACGGCCCAAGAGGCCTCCAAGAGGTCCTCCAGGAGAGTCCGAAGAGGCCAAAATCATTGATTTCCCATTGGTTTTTGAAGGATTTTGGCATTTGCGCCTTTTCGGCTCTCCGACGGCTCAAGACGGCCCAAGAAGCCCCCAAGATCGCCCAAGAGGCCCCCAAGAGAGCCCCATGATGGCCCAAGTGGCCTCCAAGATGGCCCCTAGAGGGCCCCAAGAGGGCCCAAGAGGCCTCCAACACGCCCAAGATGGCCTCCAAGACGCCCAAGATGGCCTCCAAGACGGCCCTGGAGCATTCCAAGCGGGCCCCAAGTCGGCCCATAGAGGCCCCCCAAACGGCTTCCGACGGCTTCAGACGTGCCAGGAACCCACCAAGATGGCCGAAGTTGGCTCGAAGCTGGCCCGAGACGGCCCAAAAAGCCCCAAAGATCGCCCAAAGCTTGCCCAAGAGGCCTCCAAGACGGCCAAGATGACCTTCAAGATGCCCACGTGTTCCCCGAAGGCTTTCCAAACCGATTCGGGGAACACGTGGTCCGATAGCTTGGCAGGTCTGGCCTCAACGTTCGGCCACATAGGCGCTTCCAAAAAGGCAGGGGGCGGCGGTGATTCGCCGTAGGCGTCTTCGATAGATGTACGATACATTTCGTTACAAAAAATACGCCTTCACCCGTTCGGATCCTTCAGCTCTAGACTGCCCTAAAAGCCTCCAAGATGGCCCCACAATCCTCCAAAACGGCCCCTGCATAGATGGTCCTAGACGGCCCCAAGAGGACCACACATTGGCCTCAAGAGGGACCCAAGACGGCCTTGGAGAGCCATTCGACAACCCGAAACGGCCCAAAGACGGCCCCACGACGGCCGCAGAAGACGGCCCTCAGATGGCAGGCGGTCCAAGGGAGCCCCAAGAGGGCCAGAAGGCGGCCCAAAATGGCCAAGGGGTCCCAAGACCAACCCACAGGAGCTCAAGACAGGACGAAAAGGAAGGCGACGAATACGAGAAAAAACTCCCAAACACACGACGCGGAAGAGTGTCACACACACACACACACACACACACACACACACACACACACACACACACACACACACACACGCACACACACACACAAACACACACACACACAAACACACACACACACACACACATCTCACGGCACTCCAAAGCCTCGGGGCACAAGTTGTCAAGAGTTGCAGCCTCCAGTGCGTCCTGCGAACAGTCGCCACTCATAGGCTGGCACGGTGGCGGAGCGGTGTTGCCAGTATCCCTCACACCCTGAAATTGCACTGTACCTGATTACAGCGGAGACCCTTGACTGTACATCGACTGAATGACTACACGGAGAAGCAATCGGCACATATAATTCAGGCAAAAAGGTAACTCCTTCTCCATTGGTTTCTCGTTCTCGTCATTTCCATCTCCAGCACCGTCCTGTTTGGGCATGATGCAAAGAACGAGCATCACACACCACGCTACCGAGTGCTGTGGACGTAGCACAAAGCTGACGGCGAGAACCGGTGATATTTCCCGAACGCTTTCAATTACAAGCCCAATGATTCCACAAAAGTGCACTGGCGAATCCTGTCCACGCAAACCCCTCGGCGACGCTTGTTTTGTAGATCGATGGGGCTACAGACAGACCGAGGAACAGAGAGAGAGAGAGAGAAGGAGCCGGATAGAAAAGGCGCGAGAGGAAAGCCATATAATGGGAAGGAGAAAGAACGCGAGAACGAACAATTCGATGTTTGCCCGCAGGGCGCCGTGTACCAACACCGACGCGACGACGCTAACATCTGACGCGAGCCCTTGACCTGGCAGGGATGGCACGCGAGGTGCTGCGTGGTGGCCAGTCCCGCACTGCCCAGCACAAAGACATGCGCGATTGGCATGCGACGCAACACGCCAGCCTCCCTCACCTGACTACCTACCAGACCACCCCAACTCAACCCGAAGAGCCGAACTTCGGGTCAGGGGGGGGACGGGTTCCATGTGTCTGTTTTTTATGTTCTGTTCCCCGACCCCCCCCATTGGTCGGGGAGACGTAAGACTCGGGTACGGGGGACTCGGGTTGGCCCGACGGGGCCATCATAAAAATGACGAGGCCCAATCTGAAATTTGACGCGAGCTCCCGCTGCAGACATCCCACGAAAACTGGACCGTCAAAATCCAGGACGCGCTCGTCAAAAAAACGTCGGCAAACCCGCGTTCCGGCTTACTCGGGTCTTGCGTTCCCCCGAACTGGAAATGGAGGGTAAGTTGAGACCTTCGGGTTGGGTTGGGGCGGTTCGGAGGGTGCTGAACACCGGCCTCACCGGCTTCGCAGCGGCCACGGAGCAGCTCGTAAAACAGGGCTAGGATCGGGATAAATCGCTCCAGAGCGTTCCGGAGCGCTCTCAGAGCGTTCCGGAACGCTCTGGAGCGGCCGCGGCGCCCAATACATCCTCCAAACCCGCCGATTCTCAGAGATTTCGAGTTATCCCGATCCGATTTTGTCCCGATCTTCGCGTCGTTTGAGAGCAGCTCGCCCCAGCATCGGCTCGCGTCAGCACGCACAGACCCGGCGCGCTGGAGGCAGCCGAGGCTGGCCGCCGCCACCGCCGATTCCCGCTTGGAGGGGCGGCCGCGGGGCCTGCGCTGGTTCCCAGACCCCCGACGTCGCGAGTTGTCCACAACCTTAGCATTTTCTCAGGGTGGAGGGCTCAGGGTGAAATCCATGAGGTCTTTTGCACCTCGAGAATCAATCAGTCTTGTGACTCACCTTCTGCAGATTCGAGCCTGCAACAGTCATCGAAACGGCATTTCAGATTTCACCCTTTGCCCTCCACCCAAAGAAAATGCTCGGACAACGTCGACCCCCAGAAGTCTGGATCCCTTCCCTGGGACTGGTTTTTCATCCCGAGGCGTTTCGTTGACGGTCCCGGGGCCCGCTGAGGGCCCTGGGAGGCCGAACATAACGGAAAGCCTCCCATCGCGATTTTTTTCACAGAGCGGGGGGGGGGTCTGAGTTCCCTCCTTCTTTCCTTGCGTGCTGCTGTCGTCGCTGTCGTCCGCCGTTGTCCTCCTTTCCTCAGCTCCTCCACCCTCTCCGCTCCCTGCTCTTCCGCCGCTCCTCCGCTTTTCCTCGATCCCTCCCTGCTTGTTCTGCTCTATTGTTCCCCGCAGCAAATATGTGAAGGATCGTGTATTTAGGACAACGCAACAAAACACAATCTGAACTTAGGCCCGAAAAGATCTGTGAGGAGGTGGGATCAGTCCAGGGGCCCAAGCGCACCAGACTTTCGAGCCGCGCCCAGCCGCGGGGACGGGCGGGGACACTTTTTTCTGCTGGCCAATGACTGTTAGGTCGGGCATGTCCTCCTGCAGGGGGATCTTGGACGGAACATAAAACACAGCCAGCAAATACTACACAATAAACCGAAAATAACAGAAAAAACGTCCCCATACTATGTTTACGATGTTTGAATGTTCCCCCTGTAGAGGGACGCGCCCGACTTCAGGGCTACTGCCCAGCACCAGCGCTGGGCCACATCAGACCCCCAATCCGCTCCAACACCGGCGTGCTGAAGGCAGCCAAGGTGGCCAGCGCAAACCCCGATCCCGCCACGGGCCGCGACATGTTCACTGGATCATCACGCGCGGAGGCCCCACATGCGCCCTTCGAGCCGGGTCGCTCCTCCTCCTCCTTCTCCTCCTCCTCCTCCTCTGGGGCACGACGTCAGGCCCGCGACCACAGGGGAGTCAGACGGACGATCTCTCGCTCTCTCTCCCTCTCTTTTTCCCCCTCTCCCTCTCTCGATACATATATATATATACAAAAACAATTAATGTAGAGAGAGAGAGAGAAAGAGAAAGAAAGAAAGAAAGAAATATACATTAAACAGATCAATATAACATGTATATGTGTGTGTTTCCCCCCCCCCCAGCACCCCCAAACAATGGAATGGGGGAGGGCATCCTCCTCATCATCATTATATTTGCTCCTCTCCCTCTTCTTGCTCCCTCCTCCTCGCATCTATCCTCCTCATCACTCGTCCTCATCCCTCCTCCTCTCTCATCATCCTCCCTCCTCCTTCCTCCCCATCTGCATCATCATCCGCCTCCTCTTCCTCATCCGACTCTTTCTCCTCCTCCTTCCGCTCCACTCATCCTTCATCCTTCTCTTCTCATCTCTTCAGCTTCCTCATACTCGATGCTTTGCAATTGTTTTTGCTTTCGTCCTCCCCCTCATTTGCGAAATCGTCTGGATCTGGGAACTGTTCCGTTTCTAGCGAAACCACATTGGGATCGGATTCCTATTCGATGGGAATATGTAGTTATGGGATCTGTTATGATTCTACTGACGCCAGACAACCAGAGGCGAATCCGATCCAAATTCAATAATAGCCATATAGATCTAAGGCCTGCCCTTTTCCTGAAAAATATGTACCAGAACTTGACCCAATTCAACAAGCCGTCTTTGGATCTGGGTATGTATATGTATCTATATACGTATATGTATATGTATATGTATGTGTATATGTATATGTGTATGTATATGTATATGTAAATGTATGTGTATATATATATATATGTTTAGATGTAGAGAGCGAGAGAGAGAAAGAGAGAGAGAGTGATAGAGAAAGACAACAAACACAATTAGAGCGAGAGAGAGAGAGAGAGAGATCTAGAGAGAGAAGAGAGACAGACAAAGAGAAATATGGAGATATCTGGCAGAGAGAGTGCGCAAGTATCCACCCTCCTCAGCAAGTTTGTCGGGGGTGGGAGATTCCTGCGCGCGCTTGCGATGCTCGTGGCCCCTCCCCCACCCACACCTGCCTCGGCTGCGCCAGAGAGCGAAATCCCTCTTCGCACCTAGCCTCACGCAGCTCCCTTCTAAGAGGGAAGAGAACGCGCATCGATGAGCGACGTTGGATGAACTTTTGGATGGGCTCATTTGTCTCAACTGGCCCTCATCCTCCCCTGGCCTTCCAATTGCTAAGAAACTGCCTCCGCGGACCTGGAGACCCCTCTGGGCTGGGACTGGAATTTCGATATCGATGTCATGGTGCTGTGGCTTAGCCCTCCTGGAAACTTATTGTCACACGGGGGGAGGCATCTGACTGCTGGGCGCGGGCGAGTGGCGGCGGTCCCTGCCCATGACCCAGGTCACGCCGCCCCAGATGTAGATCTCGCCCCAGTCCTTCGGAGCCAACAGAGGCTGAACAGCGGGTCGCTTCAGCAGGGATCTGCCGTCCCAGCATGTTCTTAGAATTTACGAACGTCGTAAGAGAAACAATGCTCGTGATACACAGAAGCAACTGATTGAAACAAGACGGTCTCAGCCAGAAGTGCTCTAAGAACACTCGGGTAAACAAAAGTAGGTTCGCAGAACATTCTTTGGCGGTCATATGGACAAGCCAAGACGATTCGCCACTGCTCGAGTCAACCCTTCCTCCTGCTGCTCCTCCTCCCCCTGATTCGCCCCCGCCTCACTCCTTACCCCCAATGCAAATTGGACCACGGGTTCGCCCGAACAGCGGCACGGCCAGTACGGCTGTTGATACGCCCTCAGCGCGATTGCGCGATCCCCCCTCTGTTCAGGACGCGACGATTTCCGGGAGGGAGAGGGAGAGAAAGGCTGAACGACCAGTCCGGCGTGTCAAAGAAATGCCGAGATCGCGACCCCGCAGACCTCCCCAGGGGTGCACCCCGACCAGACTCCTGAGGAGAGCCCAACCCGCGGCGACGAAACCTCTGCAAGACGCGCGCGCGCGCAGCGGTATCGGTATCTGTTCCTCCTCCTCTTCCTCCTCCTCCTCCTTCGGCCAGCACTCCCGCTGGACCCTCCTCGGCGCGATGCTTATTACAACGCTGTTCCGCGGCCGAGCTGTCTGCGGCGCCCGCCCGCCGCCCCCCCCCCCCCCCGGGCCTCCCTCCTCCACCGAGCCTCGGGGGCGCCCTGGCCCGGGCCAGCGCCAGCCTGGGCAAGCCGCGCCTCCTCTGCATGACCCCGCAGAAGCCCTGCAGGGTGCGAGGCTCGAATCGGCCTGTGCCGCAAGACGACGTCGGAACGAAAACGGCCCACGAAATCGCCAAAATCACCGTTGATGTCCAGCCCTGTCACCCGGACCACGCCGCGGGCGCCTCCTCCCACGAGAAGCCCCGCGGGCGTCCTCCAGCAAGCATCTCTGCACGGCCGCGGCCCAGGTCGGGGGCGTCCAAGGAGGGGGGGGGGCGCCCAAGAGCGGGCCCGCAGCCAGTCGCGGCCCGAGGCACGTGCGGGGACGAAGGGGGGGGGCCAAGGGCCAGGGAGGAGCCATGGAATCTGGAAGACATCATGATTACAGTCAACCCGTATAATACGGATGCGTGGTAAGGTTGCAAGGGCCTTGGAGTGCCACGTGAACGTTTTTCGAACGAGGCTGGCCAGCCAAAGCGGCCAAGGATAGACCGAGGAGGCAAGGATGCAAGGGTACCCTTGGGAAGGTTGCCCATCCTTACTATGCGGGTTGACTGTAACCCCCGCCTGTCTCAAAGGGACAGTGCCCGCGGCGACGCCGACAGCGAACCCTGTTCAAGATGGACAAGAGCTGCCGTCGGTCTTCGTACCCATCCTTGCCGTACCCCCTTTCGGTCGCGTCAATGCTCTGGAGAGATGTGTCCCAATCCCGGGAACGCACGACGACCGCTTTCTGGGTCATAAGAAGACGCCAGGAGGAGGACAACATCGGGTGAAGATAAATCGAGAATCTCTGATCCGGCGGCCCTGGAGGATGTCTCGGGCGCCGCGGCATTCTCAGAGAGTTCAGCAACGCTCTGAGACCGTTCCAGTCTCGAACGGGTGTATCCTCGTCTTGGAAATTCGGTCGGGCATCTCCTCCCATAGGCAGATTTGTGAAGAAATAGGAACATTGTCAAAACATATCCAAACCTTGTAAAATAAACTTGTAGAAACATCATCCCCAGACTATTTGTTTCAAACTATGTTTGAACATTCCTCCTGCAGAGGGACATTCCCGACGTCATTTTAGCCCCGTCCGAAGTCAACTCCCTTCGCGCATCGTGCCCTGCGGTTCGCGGCCGCAGCCGTCCGGCCTGGGCCGCGGCGCGCGAGGCGCGATGACCTCCGCGCCCCTACAGGGGTGGTCCAGACTTTAGGTGTTCTGCACCTGCGAGCCCGATCATCGCGCAGTAGACCCGTATCAGAAGGATGCGCGGTAAAGATGCAAGGGTCTTGGAGGTCCATGTGTACGTTTTGTCGAACGAGGCTGGCCAGCGAAAGTCGCTGAGGATGGGCCGAAGGGGCAAGGATGCAAAGGTACCCTTGGGAAGGTTGCCCATCCTTACTATGCGGGTTCACTGTAAGTGACTCCAGGATGCTGCACGCCCAAGACGCGTGTGCATGTGTATTTGTCTCTGTGTATGCGTCTGTGCGCATGCGATGGGTTCAGATCCCAACCGGACGCGTGAGATCCCAACCGGACGGTTCAGATCCCAACCGTCTGAAACACCAGGCACGGTCAGATCCCAACCGAGGAGGAAGCGAATAAAGAAAACATATTGAAAAAAAAACCATACTTGTTCATTGCTATCTGAAGTTGCGATGGACACCTTACAGGAGCAGATTTACGCCTGAGTTATTGCGGTTGGGATCTTGCGCGTCATTTGCTGAATTGTAGTAGAGGTAGAAGTAGTAGTGGTAGTTGTAGTTGTAGTAGTAGTAGTAGTAGTAGCAGTAAAAGTAGTAGTAGTAGCAGTAGTAGTATTAGTAGTAGTAGTACTAGTAATAGTAGTCGTAGTAGTAGGTGGTTGTAGTAGTAGTAATAGTAGTAGTAGTAGTAGTAGTAGTAGTAGTAGTAGTACTGGTAGTAGTAGTAGTAGTAGTAGTCGTAGTCGTAGTAGTAATAGTAGTAGTAGTAGTAATAGTAATAGTTAGTAGTGGGAGCAGTAGTAGTAGTCGTAGTAGTAGTAGTAGTAGTAGTAGTAGTAGTAGTAGTAGTAATAGTAGTAGTAGTAGTAGTAGTAGTGAAAGTAGTAGTAGTAGTAGTAGTAGTAGTGGTAGTAGTAGTAGTAGTAGTAGCAATAGTAGTAGTTGTAGTAGTAGTAGTAGTACTATTACTCATCGTAGTAGTAGTAGTAGTAGTAGTAGTAGTAGTAGTAGTGGTAGTAGTAGTAGTGATAGCAGTAGTAGTGTGCACGGGGTTGAAGTACAAGGGCACAGAACCCCTGATCCGTTGGTAGAGAGAAGGAGGGATAGATGGATATCTTTCCCTCCCGCACGATCAAGGTCTGATCGATCTATCTCAGTACCTGAGCCCAAACAGCCAGGCGCAGGAGAGGTAAGGATAAGGAGTAAATATGAGGGTATTACACGGGTTCCATTCACACCCCCCGTCCCGAATCCCGCCCGTTAAGGCGGGACTCGGGAACAGAGGAAGGAATCCGTAACCTCTGAACTCCTTTAGTCCTTAAGTCAGAAGGCAGCTGGGCTTAAAATCAGCGAAGCCACAGCTGCAAAGTGAAGTTAGAAGGAGCACCCTAAGTCCCCCTTTCTTCCCCAAGCACGCTTTGGTGCCCCCTCGGCGCGCCCCCCAAAGACGCTTCGGCACTCGGGGGCGGAGAAGAATGAGACCAGGGTGGGCGGAGAAAGAAGATTTGAGCGTTAAAGCAACATGCAAACTGCCTCGCTTCTGCGAGGCAGGTGTTGCCACCAGCTAGCAGATTATTCTCGACGCAATCAGGTTTGAACTTGTTAAAATATGCATGCTAAGATCGTGTTGACGAGCGCGATCTTGAAATGAAACACATCATTGTGTGAAAGCGAATGTCTGGCCAGACAAAATGTCGTGTTGATGAACGCGAAAATCATGTGTAAAAACTCTGCTTGGCGACTCCCGTTGGCGTTGCTCCTTGGGAGGCTGCCTCGGTGATCGCAAAAGGTATTTGTGTGTGTGGCCACTTCTGTTATATAATGAAGTGGCCTAAGATATGAAATAGCCACCGCTCAAGACGAACTTTGGTTATATTGAAGTTCGTGCCTTGAGCGGTGGGCCTTGCGGCCGACTCACTACGCGTTGCCGTTATTGTAGAACCTGCGGTCCCACATCCTCTGGTCGTTGTACGTCGCGTAGCTCGTCGCGAATGTCTCCCAAGCCGCTCTTGGGATCCAGTTGCGAAGCCAATCATTGTGCGTGATGTCCTGGATGTATACGTACACGTACTCATCGTTGTTGGTCGCGATGTAGATCCAACAGTTGATGTAGTAACTCCAGTACCTGAAGCCCCAGTAGCTGTCCTCGAGGTCATCACGCCAGTACGCGGCGTAATCTGATGTACGCGCTCTCTTGGCACGCGGCCCCGCGGGCGTGTAGTCCGTCGCGCCTGAGGCGCTGGACGCAGCCGCATCGCCAGGAGCAGGGCGCGGCGGCGGCCGCGGATGGCGCGGCGGCTCCATGGCATCATCGGACTGGTGGGATTGTGTATCGGGATCGGTTCTCATCCCTGTATCAACCCCCCTCTGGTCGGTATGTGCTGGATCGAGGGGGCCTAACAACTCATTGGCAATCGCGGCAAGCTTACGCCGAGTGAACTGTTCACGGGTTCCGTCCCTTCTAGGGAGAGAAACCGTGACCAGTCCGCGGGCCTGCCGCGTCTGCCTGTCGATGCGCCCCTCGTTCAGCCACCATTTCCTCCGACCAGCCTGTCCTGTCCTAATGCTGACGTCGAGGATGTCCCACGCATCGCGCATGTCCTCCACTGTCCAGGGCTTCTTGCCGACGTTCACGCGGGCACCTGTCATTTGGTGGTGGAACTTGAGGTCGTTGAGAAAGCGTTGTACGAGATTGGCGAATGGGTAATACAGAGGTCGGTCGTCGTCGGCTTCGCCCATCAGTCTGCACCCATGTGCAGGAGGGCTACCTGCTTCGACCCACTGCTGATGCCTCTTTTTGGACACATTGGCCAATCTCCGCAACTGATCTTTCTCGTTGCCTGCATGCGATCGCGCACCCGTCATAATGACGTGCGCACCGTCCTTCATGTATCTCGCGATGTGGTCCTCCGGGAGTGTCGTCTTGATCCAAGTCGTCAGCTTCTGGAAGTACGCAAGATCGCTCTGTGTGGCGGTGCTCTTACCCGTGGCGCCTACGGCCACGGTATACTGCCAACCGATATCACAAAGTGTGCCGTCACCTGTGACAA